GACGTACCGGTGTCGGGCAGAGCCTGCGGCTGCGCGGGCGGCGGCGCGGCGGCGAGCGCGGCGGCGGCCTGGTCGCGCGGCACGCGGTGCGCGCTGCCCGCCACGCTCACGTTGCTCCTGCACAACACGCAACACAACACATCGCCTCGGAGCGGCGCTCCTTCACAACACAACACAACGACACCCGCCCGCACACAGACACTACTGTACAACAAGCGGTATAGACAGGTATACTTTACTCTTAACATAATAATGCATATATAATAATATAAATATGACTAAAATCACATTTGCAATGTTTTTGCTCAACTCACAATTATACATTATATAAACTACATATATTTTATTGCGAATGTTTGGAAGTATGGATGTTTGTTAGAAATGTCTCGGAAGAAAAGAAATGTGGTATAGATGTAGATCATAGTCTGGAAGAACTCCGCGCGGACGGAGTCAGAGCAATGTGCAAATTGACAACTTCGATAGAGGCTCAAAAAGTTTCAAGTTATATATTTTTTTTTTAATAATGTAGATATGACCTTTTTTTTAATGATACTTAAAGTACAAAGAAAAAAGTATCACTTTAGTATTTTTACAATGTTTTTTGTTTTAATCAAATAAAAAAAATGAAACGACCGAAGTGTCACTATGGTTTTTTTTCTTTTCAGTTTTTTTTTTACTTTTTATTTTTGTGCTCTTATGGAGGTTCGAAAAGACGTAGAGCGGTTTATTCGGCTCCTTACGATTTAGTCTCAGAAGAAACAACATATCAATTCAACTCGGGAAAGTAGTGTTACCGTGCCGGCGCAGCGGTTCAGCATCTTGAGGTGGTTAATTGGTAAACTACTAACTTGCAAATGTCGCTGGCTTCCGCCTCGCCGCTGACCAGCGCGCGCCAGAACTCGTGCACCTGCAACAGCCAAGCCGACCATGAAACAGCAAGCTGGTGTTGGTGTTGGGGGGAGGGCGAGGGGCGCACGTGACCGCAGGCAGGTGACGGGCACTCACCTCGTCGATGACGCGGTGCGCAAAGGCGGCGTCCTTTGCCTCGCCGTCGAAAGCGAACACGTTGACCGGCTTGCCGTCGGGCACCTTGTACAGACGGAACCACTCGAGCGTGGCTCGCAGCAGGCCGGGCCGCACCTTCTCCAGGTCGGCGACGTCGCTCAGCCGCTCGGCGTCGGGGTCGCGCGCGTCGATAGCGATCAGTTTCCAGTCGGTCTCGCCCTCGTCGATGAGCGCCAGCGCGCCCAGTATCTTCACGGTGAGCACGTCGCCGCGCTGCGCCACGCGCGACCCTATCTCGATCACGTCGATGGGGTCGTTGTCGCCGCGGGCTCCGGTGCCGGGGTCCACGTGGCGCGGGTCCTCCCACGTCTGCGGCAGCGCGCCGTAGTTCCAGATGTAGCCGTGGTGAGGGAACACGTTGCTGACGTAACGCAGTGCGCCTTTCTTTACGTCCTGCTTGATGGGGTTGAGGGTCTCGCCGAGGCTGATCTCCATCTTGGCGTTGGTCCAGCGCGGCACCTCGACCACCATGTGGGCCAGGCGGCGCGCGCGGTCCGCCCACAGCGGGATGTCGTGCAGCGGGGAAACGGGCCCGCTCTCATCTCCTGCCGCAAGTCAAACGACCAAATATTTTAATAATCAATTAGGATACATTTAAGATACAAATTTGCCTTACCAATGTCAATGGCAAGTGGAGCAAAATTTAAAGTATTTAATTTTGTTATTATTCCAGAGCTTGATTGCACACTGCACACTGAGTTACAAATGTAATCTTTTATTGGAAAATAAGTGTGAACATGCTGATAGGGAGCTTAATTGTACAAACAAGTATAGCGGATGCTTTGTGATACTCAAGAACCAAGACTTTGTGGATTTTGAATTTATAGAAATGTTATCAAAAGACTCTACTATCTCCGAGGTTATATGTTAACAATTTGCAATTATACTATAAACTAATTTAAATGCCATTCATAGTATGTTTTTAACTAATAAAAATAAATATTTATATCCGGAGGTGTCTCCATTGATATGACAGTAATAACACTGTAAAATATTAAAAACACAGAGATGGGGGTCAGCAGTTAAAGCAACAGAAAATGCACCATCTAGTTCAGATACAATTACATAAAATCAATCATTGTTTGGAGTAACAAAATATAAAGTAACTAGCGGCTGCACTGAACCACCTCTCAGATCTGAGTGGAGTTATGACATATGGACAAAGTATTTCATGACCACAAGCCTATTCCTAACTCCTTGTACCTACAAATTTCAGTCAAATTCATAAGAGCTCACCAATTAAAGACAACAACCGGGACATTTACAAAAGGTATTAATATATTGTACTGTAACAATATAAATGACTAATTTATCCCGACTATTTTAACAACAAATATGACTTGTAGTATAACAACTGACTGAAGAAATACTGAGATAAAAAAGTGGGATATACACACATGTAGTTTTTTTTTTCACCTGAATTCATCTGCTTTACAAAAATATATTTTATAAACTGCACATCGCTCAACACTCACCACTTCTACAACTGCTTTTGCCACACTTTTTTTATCAAGTTTGTTCTTTGTATGTGTCTTATGTGTGGTAATCATTATTTTTTTCTTTTCTTTCTTACTGTTCCCGGCAGGTATGATAAAATCCCTGTATGGTTAGTGAAAACTGAATTGAATTTCGACACATTTCTCTGCCAACTCATATCAATCAATTCAATCTCTTAATGATATTTAGACTTAGAATTTAAGGGCAGGAATTTGAAACAAGAACAAAAAAGTTTCGAAACACTGTAAATTAAATCATTGTCTATCGTTAAAGATAAATTCTATGAAAAATCAGCTTGATTCGCTTTTATAAAATATTACAAGTATTTCTTTTAAAATATTACAAGCTTTTATAAGTATTAGACGTATATTTTGCTAATATATGTAGTCAAATTTGATGAAGTCAAAAATAAAGCAACAAACTGAATGGAATGGGAGCCAGCTCAATAGGTGTGGACTTTCGAATTATCCGATGTAAACTGATAAGAAAGTTTAAGGTCACCGCTAGATCTACACGTCATATTATTCAATATTTCAGACACGGAAGTAAAAGGCTATCCATGAGACACAAAAATATAAGAGACATTAACTTACTGAAGAAAACCCTATAGTCGGGTGCGTAAGGTGATCCTCTTTCTTCAGCGATAAACATTTTGTTACGGTGTTTTTGATTAAAAACAACAGACGTACTGGCCAAACCCCGCAAGCAGTGGCTACTGCCAGCGATAACCTGCCTCGACACCGACACACAGGAACTGATCGCAACGCGTGCTAATGACATTTTCCAATTGACAATTGCATAAGGCAAAGAGCATAGAGTATAGTCCGACAAGTATTTTATAGCAGTTTTTTTTTTACTTTGACAGGAAACGCCATACAAGTTTTAGGGTTACTAGTTATTAGTAGGTTAAAATTACCTAACTTATTACCACATTTCTATGTTGGATACAAAAACAAACTGTTAAGAATTAGGAAATCAAATTAAAAAAAAAACCCTAAATGCTCATAATAAACCTTACTAATATTATCAATGTGAAAGTACCACTGCCTGTCTAACTAGCTGTCTGTCTGTGTGTCTGTCCTTCTTTCACGCAAAAACTACTGACCGATT